ATGGAATATTTTATAGAAAAGTCTCGATTACCTTTATTAGAATAAGATTCGGTGGATAAGAATAAGATAATGTAAGCTTTTCAGCGTTTCCTTAGCGATATTTGCTAAGGAACAGCTAATATTCAATATGAATTTCTTTTCGATATTTGAAAGGAGACGAGTGAAAAAGTTGCGTCAAATATCCTTTCCAAATTATCTTTAAATATAAATAATTAAGTTCATATCTTTTGTATGTAGGCTTAAATAACCAATTAATATCTAAGCTAATTCTTTTAAAAATAAATAATTTTTTACTGTAATAAATCGATTGGAATAGGCTAGATGCAGTATAGCCTATATTTTATAATTTAAACGAAAAATGGGATATTAACATTATACACACACCATTTAAACTAGCAAGAATTTTGCTGATAAGAATAAAAATATAAAGAATAAGACAAAATTTTCGAATTCCGAAAATTTTGGATGCCTCATTTCGGATGAAATAGTTCATATTGGATAAGACTGTGGCCATTGCTATAGACTAATAGAGGTTGAAAATTCCAATTTAATCTCCTCGTGTTTGAATTAACGCAATTCTCATTGATGCTGTAGTTTTAACAAGAATTGAAAATAGGCCTAATAATTAAAATATCAAATAATGTATTTACTAATATGTAATTAAATTAATTTACTGTTTCCACTCAGAGAATGTTAAGAATAATTTAAGATGAAAGGATGATGTCCTGAACATTTTTCAGAAGCGATTCTTTCATACATCGCAAGTCAGAATAAATTTTGTTAAATTTTAAAAAATGATAAATAGTAGTGTTTTTAGCCATTTTTATCGTTTAAAACAAACATTAACATAAAAAACAACACAGGCCTGTGAATTTTGTTTTGTTTTGTGCTTTTTCCTAGGTTACTCTAACCGCATATTAATTATATATTTAATTATTGGGTTTAAAAATGTGAGTAATAATCAGACAAAAATAGTCAATTAAATATTTGTTTAAAAACCGCATATTAATTATATATTTAATTATTGGGTTTAAAAATGTGAGTAATAATCAGACAAAAATAGTCAATTAAATATTTGTTTAAATAATCTAATTGGCAAAAACGAAAAATTTACCAGCTTCTATGAAAATAAATGTTAATATTTCGTAATATTCGAGTAATTGCATACACTGTACTGTATTGTACTGTACACTACACTTTTGTTTGTGCAGTATTAAAAGATTTTATGCCAATCTCATTAAATTGCAAGTTTGTTCAAATAAAGATCCGACAATGGTCGAACGCATGTTATTCGGGGTTATCGAAAGAGAAAATCGGGGATCCGCCTTAAATAGCACATTCTGTCCCGCAGTCTTCGAGCAATGGACATTAATGACGCAATTACATCTCTTGTTCTTCCGATTGTCCGTCATCTCCCACGGTGAACGGATGGGGTCTGACGAGGTTTTCTACCAAGAAAACATCCTCTTCTTTCCGGTTGGCGGGTGTCGACCGTAGGTGGCTTCCCGCCTGGCCAGATAGCAATGCAAGAAAGTGGATCTATTCCGAAAAGCTTAATTATTGCAAAAAAGGGATTTTAAAAACCCCAGATTTTTAAATAAATGATGCGACTGTACAGTAGAACGGTGTAAAAGCGGCAAATTTATTTTCTTCGTCGAGTGGATGCAATTCGAGGAAATGGTGATTGACCATAATCGACAGACGTATCATCCAGACGGGTGGGAAAAACTAGGATAACCTTAATCCGTTTAAAAGGAGAGTGGAAGAGCCTTTCATGCAGCCGAAGCGAAGGCAGATCTTTTTTTGCCACGTGGCCGGCACACGTGGCGGCCGGTCATCCATGTAAATCGGGACACGTGTCCATGACTGGCCGATGAGGCGGTGAAGTGGAAACCGCAGCGACCGCACCAGCACGGGCGAGGGGCTGATTTAATTGTGGCTCATGGCGGCGTGAATCGATAGATGGCGGTGTCGACAAGTCTAGTAACACGGTTAGCCTAGTCTCCAACACGGGAATCACGGTAACCGAATTACACGCCGGCCTAGTTTGGATCGCGGCTACCTTAGACGATCGGACTCGGAATTACGGCGCATTCCTCTGGGCTTGCCGACCACTTTGTGGATATGGAACCGCCTCTTCAATCATTGGCGGAATTTATTTTCCCCCGAAGAAAAACTAGATTATATAGTCTAAAGTTTGTGGTCGTTAACTGATAAGTTAACTTAAACAGGTATCGATCACGTACCGAACTCGACGTTTCTATTCGGTCCAGTAATGCAAGTTTAATCGCTAAGTATGAAGACCTGATCCCAAGAAGAATGATATCCCGCATTATAAATAATAGAATTTAAATAGAAAAGAGAAGACAGAGTTAATTGCAACAGATTTCAATTCACTCAGGACAAAATAGTTCTGAAAATCAACCGTATTTCTTTGATACAGAGGCTAAAATAATTAACGGTACGAAGGCTTACAAATTGCAGCTTGTCCGGGGTAGCGGATGGTGTTTGTCAATCGCTGCATCCCCGCCGTTTGTCCCATCTGCAGGCAGCGAAGTGTGATTAGACGTTTATGCAAGGGAGTCGTCCTTTTCAAAGCGCGGTATCCGACAATAGAGGTTGTACCCAAATTCTCATTAAGAGCCAATCGTTCACGCCACACTTCAACCCTCTATAACTTCCGAACTACTGACGCCATTATTTGACATAAAATGAATTTCCTGCAACCCGCAGAAAAACCCATTTCTATCTAATCATTAATTACATTTTACTAACCTAAAGGGCGTTTTTGGAAATTAGACATATTGTTACTTAAATCTTTCTTACGTGAATCGAATTCATTATTCAACTTCGTATGCAAGGACGAAGAATCCGTCGACCGAAACTTGTATGTAAACTAAAGGCCTACTTAGATCAGATCTGCCGAGAAATTTCATATTCAAATTTTTCGTTCGATCATAAAATACAACTGAAAGCTGCCAATTCGTACATAACAAAAAAGTTTATTATGATAAGGAGAAAAGTAGGTACCAGGTGCATCGCCATGTCTGATTTGCATCATTTTGTCTCGTTGGCCCGAATCTTTCTCGAAGCGACAATGAAGAAAATTTCTCTTCCTCTTCTTAACAATTAAGCTGTTTTAAAGTACAGTCGGATCGAATGATCTTATTCTCGGTTATTTGAGTTCGAATCTTGATATTTTCAATATGAAAGACAAGTTGGAGTCCTTCGGGCTACCTTAAAATAAAAAAAATAAAATACGCGTTGGAACGATATGATACGTACAGTACAGTACTGTATCTGACAGTCCGAAACAATCAAAAGGACAATGATTTATTAAGACTGTAAGCATAAATATCAGTAAATAAACAGGTTTTAATTTTTAATTTTGCTATTAGAACTGATTAAAATATTATTAACTGAGAGATTTTATACTTAATCAAAAATTAATATCAATGAACTTCGATCTAATGGTTCAGTCAATGAAAAAGAATTTTTATAAAATGAACATTAAAATAAAATCCCTTAATATTAGAAACATGAAGTTATATTTATTATAACTTTATTGTAAATCAAAGAATTCTTTATTAAAACTATAGCTTCTAGAGTTTTAAATATCCAAACATTGCTGTGTTAATCAACGATCTAAATTTTGGATCTTTCAGGCCCGTGTTTTCCTGTGAAGCATTGTCAAAAAATTTCTGACTCTATCAGAAACCTTTCATTCAGAAACAAGACAAAATTTTACGCGAATGTGTGAAAAAAGCCTGAGGGTTGCTTCGTTTGTATTCTCGACAAACGGTACAATCTCGTAAACATTCGAAGGAGCCATGTTCAGACAGAACATGCTTCCATTTAATGTGAAGACGAACTTATCTGATTTGAACGTCGGCGAACTCTCGTAAATCTGTAGAATCAGTCGATCGCCACTCTACCTGTTCTCTCAGGGATGTAAATCAAGCGTTTGTGATCTATCATGCAAAACTCGTTATAGTGAAGATTCGACAGGCCACGGGCCAAAGAATTAGGAATAAACTCCATTACAAGATGGGAAGAATGGAATTCGGATGAATCCACCCTCCAACCGAGATCAAAGTCAGTGAATAGTACGCACCCACCCAAAACAGTGAAGTACGATGTTTCTCTGTCGGGGATCTTCGTAAATTAGTCGTGCGCTTGGCAGTTGCCGGGTCACAAAACAGTATAAAAAGTTAGAAAGATGCACCCCGCATCGGGAAAAGCAACGACTGCTCTTACTTTTAAACATTTCAGGACAGAAAGACCTTTTCAGTGAGGGTGGGAGATACTGAGACTATTGGGAGGACGAAAATTCCCAGTTTCTTTATCATACGCCGATTCAAAATACTTTTCGGCCCGAGTAAAACTTTTTAAGATTCAGCACGAATCCTAAGTTTAGTCGGCCCTCGTTGACCATAGGTCAAAGGGTCGATTTATGCAAATGTAAATACGATACGAGGATACATTACGGGCACAATTACATTGATGACAGTTGCGATTCTGGCAAAAGGGGCAGGACTGGGCCCGACACGCTCGAACAGACCTGGTCCTGTTCACACTTCAACGGTTCCGCTTTGTGTGGCAGAACCGTGGTCTTTACCCTGCCTGAGTTACTGCTCGGGGTGTAAGCGGTCAATATGTCAGTCCGCCCCTATTGACGGGGTCAACCGCACGTCGTCTACAAGAGGCGCTGTTTGTTCCCACTGACGTCCGACTATTGTGCGGAGTCTATCAAAAGTAGAGCTTACCTTTTGCTCCTCTTGTAGTTTGTCGTGTTCGGAAATGACGGATACATGCAGGCCCTTTTGTCCGAGTACACTCGACTTTCGACGGTGCGGGCACAAAGCGGATTCGCACATGGAGCGAAAATTGTGGCGGATACCAGGACACACCCAAGACTCGTTCCATTGGACGGAGCTCTCTGACGTCAGCAGATGCCGGGTTTACCGGATCGAGCAAACATTTCTGGTTATTGCCAGTTGGTCGGTTTTAAAGCGAATAGCCGGTCGGAGAGAATCCGTGTCCGGGCCCTCCGAGGGTCAGTTCTGGCGGAGATGATCAGTGATGACCAGGTGACTGTTAGTGTGATGAAGGTAGGTGCTCTTCCCCTTCCTTGTTTTTTCCGATCTATGTCCGGGTCGGACTAGTTGCCCACTCTGTCTTTAACAGCCCGTAGGCGCGTCATTCGTCTCTTGGGGACGGAAGTTAAATTTTCATCGAGTACGGTCTGAAAGCTTAATTTGGAAGGGGGAAGGAGATGGCCAGTGACGTCATAGAGACGCTCCAGTTTGAAGTGGTAGGGTAGAAAAGGTGCTCTCAATCTGTCCATAACTGAAAGAAAATTAAATGGTTTTACTGAGTGAAGGAGTCTCTAATAACTTATAATTGATGGTTAATGTCTTCCTTTCTATTTTTTTCTTCTGTGAATTTCCGTCCTCGAGTTTTTTTCCCCTTTCTAATTTGCGTACAAAAGGTCCAGACTTTTATACGTAGATTAAAAGTACACGTATAGACAGAAAATATTCTCATCCCTCTTTTACTAATGCATCAGTATATAGCACTCGGACACAAAAAAAAACGAATTTTAAGATTATGAAGTCAACATTTTCTAAAAAAATGGAGATGATAGGACTGTTTTCAGATAGATCTATTTAGGCCATTCGAATGCCATCTTTAGCCGAGTCTCATCACTCACAGAGATCTTATCTCTGCTATAGTCAGAGAATTAGATGCTGCGGTGTAACACCTTTCTGTCTATTTTACGAGTTTAGGTAACTCCAGTTGTCGAAAAAAAAAGACAAGAGCACGTAATCTCGGAATTAAAATTATGGCCGGATAGAATTATTAAATTTGACTATTTGGCCAATTCCCGCACCGGAAAAAAAATTTAAATTTTAAAAACAGACAGGAAGAACGCCAGTGTCCAGTCACGTGATCTACTTGGAATTCCGTTCTCGAATCTTTCATAATTACTCGGTCCCTTGTCTTAGTACACGTGACCAGAATTCGATTGGAACAGAACAGCTTCTCTGCAGGGATATCATAATTTGTTTATCTTGTATACAGTTCTTTCTTTTGCTTTAAACTCTTGAACTGTTTCCGAGTCAACAAAGGGAGGATAGATCTAGTTATCATGCAAATACACCGTTGCATCCTATAAAAATAATAATTAATTTTTCGCCAAAAATACCTCTGCAACGGGAATAAAAAAAAATAGTGTAAAGACCCGAACTGCGCGTTAAATTTTTCATTTCCACACTTAATTACTTAATCTTATTCGTATAAACAGTTAAACTACTAAATATAAAAACTTAAATGTCAAACTTAAAAAGAATTAGCCATTAAATTATGCAATTTCGTAATATTATAATCGCATTTACATCCTTACATGAGAAAAATTTTAACGGGGTCGTTATATTACTAAAATAAAAAGAAATTAAAAGAAAAATCGAAATACTTAAAGTTTTTAAGAAATTATTTACCTGAATTGAAATCCAAGTTGGGAGAGATGATCTGAAGGTAGATTAAATTAGATAATGGCAAAGAAAAGTCACTCCGGAGAATACATTCTTGGAAAATTGAGTCACGTGAGAGAATAAAGTCTACTTTCCTCCTTTACTCGTTTTCCGATCCCCTAGTGACTGATAAATGTGCGGAGGTGTTAAGGGGCGAAAGGAAAGAGAGTTTATGAGTAATGGCAGTGGCTATTAAACCGAGCATGCCAAGAAAATCGGAGAAGTAATCGTTTTTGACTAAGTTGATGAAATAGAAGGGATGCAAAAGTTTAGACGTAGCCGATACGCGCCAAAGGACAGGATGTGGAGTGACTCCGACCAATTGACAATTGCGGGGAGAGGACCGGTTGGGTTGCAGTCATTGTTAGTTTAGGAAACTCTATCTGGACGTGGTGTGGATCAAATTGATGGCCATCTCGGTCCATTGTCACTTGGGTTATGCTAGAAGGAGTGGGCCGATAGTCACGCCTTTTCGGGTTATAGCCAAACTGAATATTTTCCAACTTAGTTGGAGTATGGTCGTCCATTTTTCTTTAAAACGGGTCGAAAGATGATACGATCGGGCCATAAGAAATCCCGAATCCCAGTTAAAATCCGTTTGCTTTCCCAACCACGTGGATCAAGCGGGTGAGTCAGATATTGGAGGACCGCACGCTGTCTGGCGGCCTCCACCTGGTCTCTCTAGGACATCCCATACATCACCGGAGTCAGGTTGACCCCTACGGGGATCCAGTTAACCTGTACTTTTGTTACAGACGAATTTTTCTCGGCATCCGGATCGCCTTTCACACATTCTCGTTGACGGCATCAAGCAAAATTTTTATCAAGTACGCAGAAATTTTCCTTTTATTGTCAAATAAAGCCACAATTGAGACTTCCTTTCGATAGTCTATCAAAGTAAGGAAACTAATAACAATCAAGTAACGAAACCTTTTTCCATTTCGGTCTCTGGCCAACTTGATCTTTGTCAACTGAAGATGACGGCCGTCCGTTTCGAATTCTTCTGTCAACCTCAATCCACAGGTCGGGCCACGTGATCGGAATGAAGAAGAGGCCGTGGACAAGTCGTGATTTTGACGACGTGAGCCGCTTACTAATCGTAAGCGCACAGGCGCGTAGAAACACTGTGAGCGAATGGAAGAATGTCCTCCACCCCAGTCAAATCTATTTATAAATCTAAAATGGCCCGAGTCCGGTAACGAACACAGACTTAGATCCCGATGTAAAATCGCACCTAATGCTCTGGTTCTACTATGATCCGAAAACATCTCTCTGTGCCAGAGGCATCCGTCAGGCCGGATCTAGCAACTATGACGATTAACACCTCTCGACTGCCGTGCGGTCAAACGCCGATTTACAAAAGAAGTAGCTATTGAAACTCGCCATAAAAACGTTGGAGATGCTCGTAATTTCCAGATTTACGACCTGGTAAGATGATGTTCACCCCGACATTTTACTATCGTTCTTGTCTATAATTATACGAGGAATAAAAAGCAAAGCAGGGCCGCTCTTTTGTCAATCCCGCTGACTTTTTTTTTTGTCAAAAACGCGACCGTACTAAGAGCGTTAAGAATGCAGAAAACTCTTTTTGATTCCTACTCTTTTCTTTTTTTGTTTCTTGCAGACAGAGAGAGAACTTTGCTATTCCTGCAACCAGCTGATAACCGATCGTTTCTTACTTCGAGTCAATGGTCAATCCTGGCACGCTCATTGTCTTAGATGTTCCGTCTGTCAAGTAGCCCTCGACCGGCAACCATCTTGTTTCGTCAGAGAAGATCATCTCTACTGTAGAACCGATTACGTCAGGTAAGATCACTTTTCTTAGGTAACAAAATTGATGCAATACCTCCCGTCAAACGAATGAGAATCTCTAATATTCCAACACTATCGTCGAAGCGTCAAATGCAATTGCAACTTCCTTTACCTATGAGTTCTTGCGCTAAAATGCTTAGAAACGAAAACTCTATCGAGAACTGACAGAAATGTTCGTAAAAGTATATGGTGTATGTTCGTAAGTATGCATCTAGTTGGCTAGAATGCCTCTTATAGCGTGTTGTCGAGTGCGAACAGCGAGACATTATCTTCTGAACGCGGCGGGGAACCTCGCGATCTTACCTAACAATCATTTCGTCCCCTGGCTTTTTCACACCTGGGTCGAGGCGACCCGCCGGGCTCTCTGACAACCAACGACGACTTCGCATTCCTTCAGCCAAAAATATGTCTGCTGGGTCCACTCGCTTATCGTTTTATAAAACGGATGGATCTTTTATTGGTCACTAGAGCTTTTGCTTTGCCCCGCGTCGGTCGGATCGGACTATCGAGACAGAACACGCGACACTTGCCACAGTTTTCGCTCAGTAGACTTAATTAGGTGAAGAAGAGGAGTGGAGAACATCCCCGGGGAGGCAGCAGTTAGCACAAAGTTAACTGGTATGGCACCCGTCAGAGGGATTGCCAAATTCCGACGTGATTAGGACTAATTAGCCGGACAGTGGGGATGGGAATGTCCAGGGGAATTGGACGTGAGCAGGTTGACTGGTTGTCGTTTGCTCTGGCTAACTAGACTGCTTCCGTATTCCTGAGCCACTCGTCCCTAGCGATTGCGGATTTTTACCTTCTATTTTTTAGCTCCCACTTTCACTTTAGTTAACTGGTAGTCTCTATATAACTGAGGCTCACAGTCGAAGTTTCGTATCCGCTGCAAATTGATTGTCCGGTAGTATTATTAAAAGAATTATCTTATCCTAGGAAATAATTCGAGATAAATCAGAAATGAAAATTTGGAATTAATATATTCTTTATTACAATTTAACGGATTTTCTTTAAGTTTTATGAGTAATTTAGAATGTTCTCAATTGTTTATCCAACTTATCCGGAAAGAAGGCCGGACTCACTGTAAGTCATACAAAATATAAGTTTTTCTTTAGCTCTACTTTCTCCGCTTAACAAAAAATTAGATTCCAGTTAACTTTCACATCTCAGATTCATTTTCCATTTACTCATTTAAATCTTATAATAAAATTTAATGCATAATTTTAAATTTTGTTACAATTTTAGCCAAATTACGTTAAATTTTAAATAACATGATAGCATCGAATAAATTTTCTAAGAAAGAAATGAAAGATAAAAAGTCAGATCGTTAAGATTTTAATCAATTGAATCGAAGAACTAAATCTGAATTAAATATATATCAGTAGCAGGTAGCTTTAAAAAATATTTCAATTTAAATTTTAACTTCTCTGAGAATTTTAACAATTAGGCCTACTGTTCAAATGATTACGGCCTGTTCTAAAGAATATCTTCATTTTTCCCAGCTTCATTCTGTTTCTAAAAGAGATGGATTCGTGATATTTCTATTAATTTTTAAAAAAAATTAATTGCGAAGTGAATATGAAGTGAATTGCAGTTAGAATATAACGAGAGATCACGCAGTCACGATTTAATTAATTATCTACACAAATAGTAGTCACCAAGAAAGCATATTGCGTATCTTTAATCAAAATAATAGTGGGCCTTTCGATATATTGCCTATCATTTAATTTTATATCATAATCAATCTGTTAGATAAATCGATTTAGTACTATAATTTGACTTAAATCGATTAAGAATGAAACCGAATACAGGTTATTTCCAATAGTAGACTAGTATAATTGATGCCTTTTGACTTAATTGTAAGAAGAAAGCTTTATTTATTAAATTATCAAGCCTTTTCAGAGAGAAAAATTAAGATTAAATTCTAGGAATAAGTCTATCTGAAGCTATGCTATCAGTTTTAAACTTAAAACATTTATCACTTTTCCCATAAATACAGAAATAATTATTGATTACATTACTTTTTAATATTAATCTTCAATAATTTCATCCTTTCTCTAATGTAGTATTTAAGATTATAGTTTATTATTAGATATTTTGAAATAAGAGAAGCTATTGCTTATTGTTTAAATGAAGCTAGACGAACTCTGGGATAAATATCTAATAAAATTGTATATGTAGGATTTCTTAATTCAAAGCAATCTATTGTCTACTAAACCCGTTTTCGTCTATTATTTCTAAATATTTTAAGAAATTTAACAAAAATCTAACATCTTCGTACATGAATATTTAAATCTTATGATAGTATTCAGTTTATCGAAATCGTTTTTATATCGCTAGGATTTAAGATATTCGTTAACAAAACGTGGAATGGATGACTACTACTAAATGGTTCTTTACTGTTAGAAAAAAATACAATATTTTCAAGAAGGAGGAGTGGCCTCCGGCATTAGAATTAGTTCGGAAGTGGGTGAGGCGAATAGAATTTAAATAAGAGCCACAACCCTATTTTTGCTTTAACTAAGATACGGAACGAATCAAAAAACATAACTTGATAACTCGAATGTATTGAATGAAAGGCGTTATCTCGTATATATCCTTCAATTATTTTTTTTTATCAGTTTATTTATCGATCGTTTCTTCCTGGTAAAAAAATTGTTTTTCACTTATCTGAAGGAAAAACAAAATAGAATTCAATTCTATATTTAAATTAAATTAACAGTAATTTAAATGTTATCAAACAATAGAAACTAAACTGAAATTTCGAGATAAAATGAAGACGATGTTATAGAAAAATAATAAATAAGTCTACCTTGTTTTTTTCAGCTTTTCAGAGGATGATTAAAAAAATATTATCTATTATCTATATGGAATGAAAAAGTATTGTCGTTAGAATTTAAAAAGTTTATTGTATTTACAAAATGTATATCGTTCAAAAATGACACAACTCATTGAAGAATAAGGAAGGAAACGTAAATTAATGAGAAATAAGTCGTTATATTATGTGTTGGGTCTGTAATGCTCCGAAAACAGAATCGACTAATCAATAAAATAGTTTTTAAATTAGTTTATTTTAGAAATATCAAGTAGAAAGAATTTCTCCTTTCGATTATTTCCTTACGGATTTACATACAACATAAAGAGCACTGACCGAACGGATCTACCATTTTCTGATAGTTGCCCAATACAGATAGAAATATAATTTGTGTCTGAATGACACAAACACGGTTCCCTTCATCGGCCGAGACGACAGCTTAACCTTCTGTACTCGTCAAAAGCCAATGAGGTTAGACAGCGTTACGCGCGATGTGGTACTGTCACGTCACGCGTCTGACATCAATTGGTCCCGATAAAAAATCCCAAATACCGGCAATTGCTGATTTTACTTATCGATTGTCGACAGCCATTAAAAGTTAAAAAAAAAAAAAAAACTGTTAACTAGAAGGCTTTCGATTAAAACTTTCCGAGTTATTATATTTAAATGCTTAAACATATACTTGATCAGTACAGAAGGATGAAATAACTATGCTATATAATTTTATGTGCTACCATTTTAGATCATTCAGATCCAGTAAGATACTGAGAGAAAGAATATCGAACGGTAGAAACGCTTACGATTTATTAACATGTCGGGACGGAGAAGAAAAGCCTATTAAGTCTTTTCGTTTACTGCTGGGATTAACGTCTAAATAGACCTATTCGTTTTTGGGGAACAAGTAACAGTTCTAAGCTTATAAAAATCTGTGCCGATAAACTATGTTAACCAAGCTTTATTAGAGATAGAGTTAATTTTCTACAGTTTAAATAATATACAGAATATAAAAGAAATTTTGATGAACTTCACTATTTTCCTTACTAATTTTGGTATTAAGGCGGTTCTATCAAAGAATCTGTGATTGATATTATTTCTTCAGAGATTCTAGGTAAATACTTAATTCATTCAGAACCTTCGGGAATCCCTATAAAAATTTTTATAGAAAAAAGATAGGATGTGGAGTGACTGGCTGCAATAATCAATCCAAATCAGTATAGATTTATTGAAGAAATGGTCCATGACACAAAGCTACCCTCTAACGTGTTAATGAGACGTTTGGAAAGCCGCAAATTTGTCTAATTCCTTTTTGTGTAAGTAGAGAGTGACACCGGTGGTCTTATTAGTGGGGATGTATCTGTACACTCACATCCTTCCGGTAAACATAGCCCGCGGTCCCGTGACGTAACGACCGTTACATTTTTAGCCCACACGGCGGCCACGCGATTCACGGCTGATTGGTCTGCAGCCGGTTGAAATTTCATTAGTTCGTCCAGGGAACGCCGCAAACTCGATTTGTCGACGTGAAACTGCTGGCACGGAGCTGAAGGGAGAGCCTGATGAGGCCAGTTGACCGTAATATGTTCATTAGTGGGTTGCAGGGGGATCGATGCGCCCTTCTCTTCTCCGCTAGTTGCACTCCCTTCTCACCTGACACACTATCCGCCCATGATTCTTGCTTGTTCTATTGCCTATAGGCCGCTAATACAGTATATGAAAAGCATTGACTGAGTTCACTGATCAATTGCAATCCGCTTGTCAATATTTGTTCCAGGAATAACCAGATTCTTTACTTATTTTCAGGCAATTCGGTGCCAAGTGTGCCAAATGTTTCCGAACTATTCAGGCATCAGATTGGGTGAGAAGAGCACGTGACCAAGTATATCATTTGGCCTGTTTTGCCTGCGAAGCTTGCAAACGTCAACTGTCCACAGGAGAAGAATTCGCACTGCACGAGAACAGGGTGCTATGCAAATTACATTACTTCGACTCACTGGACGGAGCAGCGGGCTCCAACGACGGTAATAACTGTTGCTATATGCAACCTATTTTATTTATTAATATTCCAACAGCTTTTTTTCATAGAGAACAGCGAACACGATCTTCAACAGAAGACCAAAACTAAGAGAGTCAGGACTACTTTTACAGAGGAACAACTTCAGGTGCTACAAGCCAATTTTAATTTAGATTCAAATCCCGACGGGCAAGATTTAGAAAGAATTGCACAAATTACGGGATTGAGCAAACGAGTGACTCAGGTTTGGTTCCAAAACTCCAGAGCCAGGCAGAAAAAGTACATGACGAATCAGGCGAAGAAGGTCAACTGTAGTATCGGAAGTAAGTACAGTATCTTGTTTAAAAGTTCGGACAGGCCGAGGCCAGGCAGACTAGAGACCATAGAGTTATTACACTTTCGTTTTTCTTAGACTCATTCTCATTAGACATAAATGCAGATTAAATGTCGCGCTGGATATATCCGCTTCATTAATAACATTTGATTTTAAATTACAGTAGTCCCTTGTTATATCGCGCTTGTCGGGAGACAAAGAAAAAGCACGATATATCCGGCGGCGCGATATAACCGAGTACAAAAAATTCTGGACTTATACTAAACAGATTTAGGCTATACATGCTGTGAAATTTCTATTTTTTCATCAGCAAGTGTTTCTAGTATAAAATAAGATTAGTTTTTCAATATTTAATTTTATTCGTGTTTATATCGTATTAATTGACGTTTACTTAAACATATATACCATTGTTAAAGAAACAATGCCACGTCCATTTAGCATTGTTTCTTTAACAATGACATTTAAAGACAAATACTGTCGATATAAAAGTAAAATATCAGTTGCGATTTTATTATACAGTATTATAGTTCATAATAAATCTCTTATTAAAAATTCGTGTAATTTATATTTTTCAATAAAAATTATAAATACAGTAATTGAAATTTCAAAAAATAAATATTGAACATATAATAGTGCATCAACTTATAAAATTTCAGAGTAAAAATTCTCTAGAAAGCAAAATAAAGTTATTACTGTATAAAAATTTTAGTACTTTCTGTTAAAAAAATAAATAAATCTTTTCCTTACTCATTACGTGGTGAATTCGAAATTTCACACCTTTATGTGAATTGACGGTATTGCGTCAATCCACATAAAGGTCTGAATTTTCGAATTCACAGAAACTTGTGAATGAGGAGTACTTAAAACCAATAAATAAACAATTTTAATATCAAAAGGAAACCAAACATAAATGATAATTGATCTGTCCACCTGTTTTGCTTATTTAGATCTTGACGAATTTATCACCCGCAGTGGTTACTTTCAAGGACAATGGTAGTGATAAAATACCGTATTTCGTTGCAAAAAAAAATTGAATGGCAATTGGTATTATTGGTATTGTATTTATAATGACTAGAGTTCTTTTAAAATTTTGGGGGATAAAAAAAAGCGCGATATATCCGAATCCGCGATATAACGAGGGGCTACTGTATTTCGAAAAGAAAATTGGTTTGGGCAATTTCTATCATCTTTAAATTAATACAGTTAAAAATATTTCCAGATTATAGAGAATAAATTCAGAAATTGAAGTTTTTTTTCAAAATTTGGTTGGTCTCAAGATCTGCTGGCAGAATGTTTAGATAAAACATGTAAGGCCGATATTTACTCTTTCAGCAATCTCCATGCCGACTGTGACGGCTACCACTTCGTGTCCGGGATGCGGCATGTTGTACTGCCTATGCAGCCACGCCAATATGAACATCCACGTAAGCATGGGCCAAGTGGCGTAAATTCGAAATTTTGCTCAAAGATTCCGGTTTGCAAGACTGTAAAAGAATTTCCTGTAAATAAAATGGTGCACTTGGCCTCAAACGATCGGACATCGGACTGATAATTTCCCAACGTCCCTTCTATTTTTTACCTCTTTCAGACCAAATTAAAGTAGAACTTATTTGGTGCTTCAGATAATTCATATTCTGAAAGTGTCCGTGTTCCATTGTGCAATGTTCCTATATATAAAATTTGGGTGTTCATCTACAATGTTATATATATTATATATATAAATACACACACACCAATGTTTTATGTTTGTAAATAAAAACCATTCATTCCCTAACTGAATCTTGACTCAATATTAATTTTATTAATTATGTAAAAAATAAGAAAGTAACAATATGTGCAATTTAATTATAAATTACGAAAAACCGACAACTCGATATTGACGTGTTTATTCTATAGAATATTTCAAATTATTTGCTTTATGAATACGATAGAAGTTAATAGTTTTTAGATGTGTTCCTTACATTATTGACCTGATGTTTAGTTTATAATTTTTTGCATAGAATTGGTATAATTTGAGATATTTTTAATTTTTTCAATGAGAAAAGCAATTATTTGAAAGTGAATGTCCATTGAAAATGTGCCGGAATATTTTAACGTATAGAAATTATAAGTTTACATTTTTTTGCATTATTACATTTTTATAGTCTAAATGTTATAATGCAAAAATGTAAACTAATATCTTAACGTAATTCATAAATTACTATTCAAATTTCTTATTTAAAGCTCTCTATTTAGTTGATAACGAATTTCCACTATCAAACAATAATAATGATAATAATAATTCATTATAATCATAAAAGAGATTCAACACTCTCAAAACATTTTCTACTTTTCATAAGCTAAAGCACAAAAAGCATGTAATTAACCATGATATGTAAGAATATTTGCTTCAAAATAAATCCTTTTCTTACAATATTTCTTATAACTATTAAATTAATTCATAAGAATCGACAATATACGCCTGTACAAAATTTTATGAAATAAAACATGAATAAATCCGAAGATGTAATAATAATTTGTGAAATTTTTTCTTAAAATTTTATAAACTTAATTATTGTTGAAGTAAATGTAATACGTGTGTGTGTTTCCTATCGTTTCTGAAAGCTCTTAGGCCTCACCCGCATTTCCGTTTGATGCGTGCATAAATCTTAGTGTTTTCTCCATGGCCGATTTTGTATTATAAACATATAGAAATTTAACTGACATTCAAGAAAATGCTAATATTTTACGCACTCATTGTGAAAATTACAGGTATGGATTTCTAATAAAGTAAAAACAATCAGATTATATTATTATTCCTTATGATATGCCATTTAATAAGTCTTCTATTGTCGTTATTTAAAAATTAAACTGTGAGTGTAATATTCGTTTCCAATTTAATTATTATTTATCAATTAAGTATTTACAGTCAAGATAATAGTAATTTATAAAATCATATTAGTTTATATTATAAATTTATCGGTTGTTTTAATATGAATATATTTGTCTAAATCGATGTGCTATTAGTTTACATTGATAGGATACCTCCAATGTATATTTATATTTACACTCATCTACTTGAATTAAGATTATTTAAATGAATTTAATAATTTTTTTTCTAATAGAGATAACGTTAATTGTTTAGATTATTTACAATTAGCATAAATATAAGTTATTTTAGATGTAATTGACTAATTAATTGTGAATAAAAGACTAAAGAATTATAGGCTAAGTTAGGAATATTTAGTTCCTATTCTGTTTTCTTAATTTTTTTAGATTAGGCCTATTAATCTGTATTGAAACTGCGGTATGAATTTTGGTATAATCGATTATTTTATAATATTCAACAGAATAATATGAATAATGTATTTATCCGTTAAAATGATTGAATTTGAAATTGTTAACCAACTTTATTTTTAAAAACAACCGAATGACTACTATATTTAAGCATTGTTTTAAATTCACAACTGGCGTAGGGACTTGGCGACCCCATCGCCCACTCTTTTCATGGAGTGCAAGCAGCCAAATATAGAACTCATGCATTTCAAATAGGCAAATATACACAAATAGAAATCTTCATAAAGGAAATAAAGATATTAATAAGAAAATGAAGCAGTTGCGAATATTATAGGTCTTTCTAAACGTATTATTCTATAATTTCAATGTATTGGAATATACACGAACTCGTGACTTAATATTTATGTCATATAAAATAAGGAATAGAATAATTTAAGTTAAATAAGTCAAAGAAGGAATCATAGTATTAATTTACTACTAGGAATAGAAGAATAAATCTAATAGAAGTAGCTTATAATATTTCCTGTTCTAAAAAAAATAGGAATATAAAGATCTTTACAACCATTAAATTATGAATTTTTAAATTAATATGTGTGCGTTATCATTTGAGAAATTCATGATATATCTAATATAGTGGTATGCTTAAACGGCTATTCTTTGTAAGCATTCAGATTAAAATTTTATATCGGTAAAAGGATCGCTTTACACATAAAATTTAATTTAATATAATATTATTAAGATTTTATTCTATCCCTATCTTGGCCTCAAACGATCGGACATCGGACTGATAATTTCCCAACGTCCCTTCTATTTTTTACCTCTTTCAGACCAAATTAAAGTAGAACTTATTTGGTGCTTCANTTAGATTTACTTTACCATGTTTATTACATAATAAATTACAATACTTTAAAAATATTATATATATTTTATATTATCATCGATATTAGCTGTATTATATTTTAAATGCACGCATGTATTACTGTAGTTATATTTATTATTTACTAATTTATATATACTGTTATAATAGAGTTTATTACTATACATATTTCTTTTTCTCTATAAACAGGGTTTATTATGCATAAAATTTATTCAATTTTTATTCCTTGTTATATTGATCCATAAATTATTTGAATTTTATATTAAATTATGATCTCGATATTCGCATAAGTTTATCGAAACGTAACGTCCTCAAATATTTTAAAATGTAGACAACTGCATATTGTGAATCTTTGGATAAATATTCGAAATCTTTCAAATTTTTAGTTCCAAAAATATGTTTAATTTATGATAAAATGTATAAAAATAATTAAACATTCTTTCAGTAAAATGATTAATTGAATTTTACAAATTTTTAAAGATAATTTTTCTTATTAAAATGTATTCAAGATATTGATAAATGTTATTAAGTTTGAAGACAGCAACGTTTTCATCGCGATAACACGTTGATAAACTAATGATAAATTATCATATTTGAAAATTAAAAAAGTAAAAAATTGAGAATTTAGATATGATTAAGAGACATTAAAAAGTTCTCTAATCTTTGTATCGTGAAGTTCTTTGAAACATAAGATCGACTTTGGTTAACTTGATATTATGGCTTACACTATATTTCTAAATCGAGGTATGCAGATTGTCCGCAAATAACTGACAATAAAATTGGCATAGATATGTATTGTATTGGTAAAATATTTCACCAGAATTACACTGGAATATTAGTTAATTACTGTTAATAGTCCGACTTGCAACCATTAAAATTCTATCTGTGAGTTTGTCAAATTCTTTAAGATTTGCTACTATTCTGCATTTTAATTGTCGATACCTTCGTGCTTGAAATTGTTAAAATAAACTTGTTTTAAATGAACTCAAAATATTTCAATTGGACGTAATTGAGATAGCCTATATTTTATAGATTAAACTTTTTCGGAACAAAATAATGCCGCTATGTATCGATAAAACATAAATATTTTCTGTTAAATTCTTTTAAATTGACTGAATTAAATTTAAATACATTTTTCTTTGTATTGTTAATTTAGTTACTCTATATTCTGTTGATGATGTAATTTCAAGAAGTTTTCTGTAGTCCACGATTCATTAATCTAAAAAGTAGTAGAACTACTAACATTTACGTATTAAGTCGAACCAGAATTCATATTTTTTGTTAATGTAAAGGAGTTTTAATTAATTCTTTTATCTCTATATCATTACTGTTTTACATTTCTATGTAAAACAGTAATGATATAGAGATATAAGTAGAGATATTGTCTACTTGAACCTTGTAAATTAATAGTTCCTATTAGACTTATTATACCGGTGTTAATTGTTAATTAAGTCTTGTTAGAGTTATTATACTGGTGTAGTTTCTGATTAGCATAGGAGGTCGTAGTCAAAAGTTAAAACAAAATAAAGGTGTTTTGTTAGCACTGATCACCAATCGATAATTTCTAAAAGAAAATATTACTTTTTTTTATAAATTATTGATTGATGAATTATACTTTATAGTGCATTGCAAATATTTATTGTGAATTATAAAAAGTAATATTCTCGATAATTATTTACTAATATTATTTTAAAATCAAATTTAATTAACTTATTTGTAAAATTGTATACGTATGCTTCGCTCTAATTTTGATAAGTATAATGAATGAAGTTTTCATTTATTATCATACAAACAGCAAAAACAGAAAAAAATCAATACTTATTAAAATATTTATGTTTATTTAGTATATATTAAAGTAATTTTCCATTCTTTCAGTATATTTATTGGATTAATAGCAGAAAGCGCATGAATAACATCATAGTTATGTATGTTATTCTATATGAATAACATCATAGTTGTTCATATAGAATAATGAATTCAATATGAAATCTATATGGATAACATCATAGTTATGTATGTTATTCATATAGATTCAACTTATTTAGAAATTTACAGAAAAATCCGTAGTAAAAGCTATTAATTCAAATTGAATACGAAGAAAAATAATTAATTTTTCTTCTTATCAACATTGTTAGAATATTAAGAAAATATATTGATTGACTATAAAAAATATAGTGTAAACTACTAACTAATCCAGAGAAATGTCGTTAATCTGAAATTTTCCGATTAAAATAACAGATTAAAATACAAAAACATTTGAGAATTTTACATATTTTTATAAAGTTTATTAATTTAAAAATTTGTTTTTATCAAAATATAATTTGTTAAATACTTTCTGTAATAACTTATAATTAGAAATATTTTATTATTTTGCGCTGAACTCGGCTTTGAATACTAATTAGGCGATCTCAAGGTATTTACTGTTTATCGAGATTACATCGTTATAAGCAAATAATCTACGCTAAATAGTCTTTTATATTTATCTATTTATTTATCTAACAATTTAATATTTTAACATTTATAGAACAAAATTTTAAACGAAGAGAACTTTAAGAAATAATTTTAAAATTCGGAAATGTAATAGCAGTCTACTAAATAATATATAGCTAGCCTAT